GCGCCAATCCGCCTGTCGATCTCCCGCTCCGTTCTTCCCCCATTTGTGAACAAGATCCCCAGATACTTAAACTCCTCCTTGAAATCTTCCTTTCTGCTAAAAAAAAAAAAAGGGGGTCGGAGCAAATTCATTCAGGATTAGACGGTGCGTGTTTCTTCTGTTTATCAGTCACCCACACACACAAAAAAAAATTTAGCTTTCCACACTTCTGATGCTCAAGGCTAAGTAGCAAAGCTAGCTTACACTTGCTGATTTTAATCCTCGGCATATATTTGTTAGAAGATAAAGGCACTAAAACCCTGAATATTAAAACAAAACGGGAAAAGGAACTGGGAATTAAATTAACAGAAGGCAAATGGCTGACTATTTGGAAGACCCAAATTACAACATCCTCCTCTAGAATTTGGAGAGAACTTTGCTGGAAGAATATAATTAGATTTTTTATAACACCCAAAATTACCAGTAAGTTCAAATCTGGAGTTCAACCATGTTGGAGAGATTGTGGAGCAATTGACGTTGATATTTTCTGGCTTTGTCCCAGAATTACACAGTCCTGGGGCCAAATACACAAGGAGATTGTAACAATATTGGGCTACACAATACCTAAGACTTGCTTAGTTTTATATCTTGGTCTTCTAGGAAATGAGGTACATAAAAATGACTGCTATCTCTTTAAAAGTTTGCTGGCGGCTCGGCTGGTAAAAAAGTAATTACCAGGAAATGGTGTCAATCGGAACCTCCTACTGCCAAGGAATGGATACAGAGTGTAAATTCAATACTTGAAACTGAGTTCTTAAAGGGATCCATGATTAGTTGTAACATTAGACTTTAATTGATAAACATACATTTTAACTGTAAAATAAAGACTGTAAAAATACTCTAAGCTGTTTAGTTTTTATCATTTTTAAAAATGTGTTTCAACGCGGACCGGGCCATTTTATTTCCACACAAAGCATTCTGGGTAAATGATGACGTGGATAGGTCCTCGGTGCGAGGCTGCTAGCGAGCTATATCCACCCTGAAGGTTAATCTTGGACAATATCTGACAATTGTGTTGGGGTCACCTCGAGTGAAGAAACAAGATTTACTGCCTCGAAGCAGGCCTCGGAC